GCATGCAAGGCAAGCACTCTACCACTGAGCCACCTTCTCAGCCCCTGAAAGGATATTTCTTAAGAAACAAAAGCTACTGTACCTTTTTTCTTTGTAAAACTCTTGTCTTCATACTGAACTATCTATAAGCAAGTGCTCTTTAATGAGGTACAAGTATAAGTAGAGACACTAGCCTGAATATCTTTCTCTGCCACCTTTGGGCCTGACCCCTGGCTTCTTCCTTGCTCTTGAGAGCCAGTTTCCATGCCCTTTCTGGGACTTATCACAGGTGGGACCATAGTACAGATTATGGACAGAGGCACATCTTTATGACATTCTCAGTGCAAGCTTTTCCAGTGATTTGAGGTTACCTTGGTGCTGCATTAACCAAATGTTCTGTTGATGGCAAGCAGGGCTGTATCTCAGCTGGCATCATTAAAGGGCTAAGAGCAGAGCCCACTTAATATATTATCAGATGGTGGATGGTCTCCAGGACCTTTGCTGCTGGGTAAAGGCTAGAGAAGCCCACACAGAACCACTAGTGTGGCTCAAGGCCCATGGACTCAATGCTTTTTTTTTTTTTTAAAACATCAGACAGAGGGCACAGAGCCAATAAGGAGGTGTCAATCAGTCTGGAGAGGAGCAGATCGCTGTGGACTGGGGATGGACTCCCCGAGTTGTGGTTGCTTAGTAGAAAAAAATATAACTTCAATATCCACTTAATGAAACTCATTCCTTTCTTGTAGAAAACCCCAGAGGTGATTTCCCTAGAAAGGAAAAAAAAAGTCTTAGAATAATTTTGAGTTAGTCATTCAAAAGCATACTCTAAATATCTAAATTTTATTCCTGTGATATTTAGCCTTGCCCTAGAAAAAGTAAAAGATTACTCCTATCTATCAAAAAGTCCATAAATATCATTCCTATTCTTTATTTGGTAAGAATGAAGGATATCACCACCTTAAACTGCAAGTTTCAATACAAGATCTTATTAATTACATGACTATGAAATATTTTTGAATGTGTGTAAAATTATTCTGCTAATCAAAATGCTTAGTTTTTACTCATTTTATGTGGGGGGGGGAGGCTTTTTTCCATCATGTCCTCTAGCTCCATAAACAATGTCTCCAATCAATCACAACTGCCTCTTTATAAGAAACACACAATGTTGGAAGAGAAACAGCATAGAAAGTACTTTGTCTAGACAACTTCATAACTCAATAGAACTTCTGATCTGTACTATGGGACTTTATGATACACAAGAACTGAGATCACAGGTACCTGGTGGCCTTTCTGATGAGATCAGCTTCAATCAAATGGGAAAAAATAATTAAGCACATTTGGGCTCTTGTTCACATTAAATATCATCATGATCATATACCATAAAAACATTTATCTAGTTTTTGTTGGTTCTGTATTCTGGCAAGGCTCAGATATCTGAACTTGTCCTCGGTCTTTAAGTCCTATTTTTGCTGACATACCTAAGTTATTAAAACTTTTCAGTACTATAAAGTTATGATTGTCCTTAGCAAATTTAGATTACTAATTACTTTTCTCAATTTTGCCTTATTAAGAGCGTTAACATTCACTGAACGTTTTTGTGTGCCAGGAATTGTTCTAAATCCTTTAAGTACATTTGTTTATTTAGAGCTTATTTGAATGGTTATTCCTGAGTCAAATGCTACTTATTACTTATTTCTATTTAATAGATGTAGAACCCCTGCAATGTTGTTTCACCCTTTTAAGTGACATTTGGAACCATTCTGCTATGGTGTCTTACATAGTAGGTTTTTAAGACTAAATTTATTCTGTTAGCAAAAAGTAAATCCAACCAAGTGCTGATGGTACACACTTGTAATACTGGTTACTCAGGAGCCTGAGAATTGAGGATCTGGACAAATCCATCAGACTCTCTGATAAACCAGCAAAATGCTGAAAGTGGAGGAGTGGCTCAAGGTAGAGCACCAGTCTTAATCAAAAAAAAAAAAAAGCTAAACAAGAGCAGAAGACCCTGAGTCCAATTCCCCAAGACTGCACACAAAAAAAGAAAGTCCATTTAAGTTTTCCCTACTTGAAAAAAAAATACCTATTAAAGCTACTAACATTATGTGTCAAGTCTAATAAGAGCATTTTATTGATTCACTTAATCTTCACTTTTGTGATGTATACACCACTGTTAATCCTGCTGTATGGACGGGAGAACTGAATACAGAAAGGCTAAGTGATTTGCCTATAGTCACACAGCTAGGACTTCTTAGAAACTCAAGAGAGACAGAGAGAAAAAAAAATCTCTTGACTGTTATCGTAATTATATCTGCCTACTCTTCCTTGCCACTGCTCTTTGCACCTGAACAAATTGGTCCATCTTTCTAAGTCATACCAACCCTGTTTATAAAAGGTGGGGTAGTCCCAGGATCCATAATCCATGAGGTCCCTTTAAATACTCCAATTGACTAGGTACCCAAGCCCCTGCAAAGTATCTTAGTAAGAGATCCATTTTGGCCAATCCAAAGCCTAAAACATCAACTTTATCTCCAACTGTGATCCTAAACATTTCTCTGTCTGTCTCTGTGGATGTCTTTGGAAAGGGATCTGGACTACAGATGCTAAAGAGGTAGAAAGTGTTCTGGTGTTATCCATTTCCTCTCAGCCTCTGAAACCCTGTCCAGATAATCTTCACAGTGCTGTGCAAATCCTGGTGCCACCCTTTTCTCTGCACTTGCTGTGTGCCCAGGGCAAGTGGTGCATTCCTCAGTATCTTTCTCAATAAAGTGGGGATAATAATAGAACTACTTCAATTGAGCTTTGTGTGGGTTAATTGAGATGATATTATGAAGCTGGTAGAACAGAACTAAACCTAAAGTAAATAGCATGAACTATTGCAGAAGACTTCTGCTCCTCCTTATGAATAGCAAATTACTACAATCTCAACTGCACTCAGTTCCCTTGTTGCCTGAGGAAACCTCTGACTTCTCCCAACATTGGGGGGCAAATAATTGAGCTCACCCTTGGTGTCATCTTGAGAAAAGAAAATCTAAGTTATCCAATGGTTAATATCGACACAGCATGAAACTGAACAACATGGGGTATGTTACTATAACTAGGTAGCAGTATCACTAAGAATAATCAGTTGTTCAGGCAGATTTTTTTTAAGTTTGTAAAGAAAATGTATTATTGCACCCATCCCTCTTTTGATAAGCTAAGAGATAATGACTTTACTAAATGTGATTAAAGTACATTTTGGGGGACAGTATTATAGAACATCAGGACCATTTTTTCCTCTTAAATAGCACAGTCTTTCATTATAGAAATTATTTCAACATTTAAGGCAATGAAAAGGGAAATATAGGGAAATTTGACTCTTGTTTTGTGCAGTATGATAACACCATTGAGAGCTTTTAATGCTACCTGGAGATCTTATTGATACTCTTATTAGTGTAAATTCATTTTACACCATGGAAGCACTTCGTAAATCAATCCTGAGTCTTAAAGTATGTTATTACAACACAACCAGTCAGGGAATGTTAGAAATTTAAGACACCAAGGGAAGTTTCTGACAGCAAGGGAAGTTTATGAAGTACGTTTACTCTTTGCTAAGTTATGTGTACAAATAGGATATGATTGGATGCAGGATAGAAGCAATACCCTGAAAAAGTAAAGCTTGTCAAGCTAAAAGAGATAACAGAGATTACATCATCCACCAGAAGCCCAGAGGGATTAAGTGATTTGTCTGAGGTTGTGTTGGTAATGAGTGGATGGTCCACATTTCAGTGAAGGAAGGCCCATTCTTTTGCAGCAAGCATTCAGACATCATATTACAATGGCAATACCAGTAAAGAATTTCAATAGACATACTTGCTGCATGCACAGGATGGACCAATGAACTAGATTAATCTACCAGACTCAAAAAACAGCTTTCTTCCCATTCCATTCTCTGTTCCATTCCTCTCCTAGCTACAAGAAGGATACTTTGTTATCTCCACTTTACAGATCAGTTCTGGGGAAACTCATTCTCTGTGACATGATAAACTCTTCATAGTTAGCGAGTTCCAGGGACGGGGACCACTCAGTCCTGCCTCTGGACTTTTCCTGTGGACTGGCTACTTCCCTCCTGGACATCAACAGGACCATGTTTTTCCCACTGGAAAAATCCATATTTTAATCTGTGAGGATGGTCTAAGCTGCGTGAAGCACTACTCACTGGCCAAGAGAAAGCAAAACCATTCTCAGGATTCCCAGGCCACAGCAAAGGTACCATTTACTTCATATTTAAATGTATCTAAAAGAGAAATTCCTAGATCTTAAGTACTATGCTACACTTTGAAGTTAAAAATCTCCTGCAAATTGATGGATGTGCTCCTACTTCCGGGGAGAGGCCACTAAAGTCATAGAACCAATGTCACAGCAAAACATCTCAGATTCGCCAATCTGTGACATGACCACGGTGTTTTGGAAACATTCATTCCCAGCCAAAATGAGGAGATGTTATATTTAACTGTTTGGAAACTTCTTTTATTACAAAAAATATATATAGTAATGGTATTTTTCCAATACAAGTGTGATAATACTCAATAAAGCATGGTGTACTTGATATTATGAACAGAACCGTCTGTCAGTTCCTGGCCCCTCCAGTCTCTACAACACACTCTTGGTAGCAAAATGCAAATATTACAAAAAAATAAAGAGGCCTTTGGACAGTTGCATGAGCAGTTGGGATGAGGGCCAGGAAAGCCCTCTTTCCTCAATTCCTCATACTTTTGGCTTTGACTTTACTTGTAGCACTTTTCCAAAGGAATTGAGACAAACCCTTCTCTGCCCCTCAAAGGGAGGAAGATTAAAAAACAAGGAAAAGGAAAAAAAAAGCTTGTCACTCACAAGCAGCTAGGGACAAAACCAGGGCCAGAGTTACAGGGGCTTGGGGCTGGGGGAGGGGGGAAGGGGGGAGTTAGGGAAATTAGGGATCAAAAGAAACTGGGGTAAAGTGCACAGTTACTGTCAAAAATATATTATTTTTTTTCATTCTAAGAAAATTAAGAGAATTTGATCTAATGAACTAGATTTGCTGACCTTTTAATACAATTGGTTTTCATGGAACATACAATCACCATCGGACATTAAAAAAAAAAGACTAGTTTGCTTTAAAAAAAATTTGCTTGGAGTTATCTACAGGAATCTTGTGGGCACAATTCAAGCATCACATTCTTCAGCTCTTTGGCTATTGAATGGTTTCCTCAGATCAGTCGGCAGAGACTGACTGGAATGGTTTCCTGCCATCTTCGCTCTCCTTCCCCTACACGCCAGTGCTGTTCTCCAGTTCCCGGTCTTCCACCCCTTCGGCAGGAGACCTGGAAACCAGGAAGAGTTTCTCCTTGTTTGTAAACTGCCTCTGCCCGCCCTGAGGTTGCTGGGCCTCGGGTGACTCTTGGCTGGGACCCTCCGAGGGGCTCTGCTCGGGGCTGGACGAGGGGGTGGCCACACCGTCCGGTCTAGTACTGACTCCGGCTTCCACCACCGACTCCACCGAGGTGTCGGCCTCCCGCAGCGGGGTGTAGCCCTTATTGCGGCCGCAGGACGGCTCCTCCGACCGCGAGCTCCGCGAGTCCCGCCGGGCGCGGGGCGAGTCCTCCGAGCGTAGGGGGGACGCGGGGCCGGCGGCCTTGTCCGGAGGAGGACTGGAGTCCCGGGCCGCCCGGCTGGAGGAGGGTGGGGGCTCCGGCGAGGGCGGCGCTCGGTAGTCCGGGAGCCCGCTGGTGCTGCGCCGCCGCCAGGTCGCCTTCCCGCCGGTCCTGGGCAGGCGTCCGCCCTGCCCCCTGGCGGTGCGCCCCGGCGCTGCGCTCTCCGCGGGCTCCTCCAGCTCGCCCGCCGCCCAGCGCGCGCCGCCCTCGGCGCCTCGGAGCTCGGTCAAGCTCAGGTCCAGCTCGCCCTGCGGGATCTCCCGGGATCCGCGTTCCCCGGGCGGCCGATGCCAGCTGCAGCTCGCCCCTTGCGCGTCCCCGTCGCGGTCCCCCTGGAAGGGCGCCAGCGCCAAGGCGCTCAGCGAGGAGCCCACCAGGGAGCTGGCGGTGCTCTGGCGCCCCCAGCTCTCGGGCGGGCTGCCGGGCGCCGGGCTGCTGCTGCCGCTGGCGGCTTTGGTGCGGGTGGCGGAGGCCGCAGCCACCGCGGCGATCGCGGTCCGGCGACGGCTGGCCAAGCAGGAGCGCTCGCGGTAGATGCTGTAGACGGCCTCGGCCAGGCTCGGGGGCTCCCGAGGGCAGCCGGGGGACGAGTCTAGGTCTGGGGGGGACGCCGTGGCCCGGGCTCCGCTGCTGCCGCCGCCTCCTACCGCCCCAGGGTGGGGCCAGGAGCCCCGGGCCAGCAGCGCGGCCGCCCCGAAGGCGTCCCCGGAGCCCGCGCAGCTGCCAGGCTTCAGCTCCAGCCCCCGAGACTGCACGTAGCTGAGGAAGCCATTGAGCGGCGCCGCCCCGGGGGTGGCCGAGGCCGGCGCCGAGGACGAGGAGGAGGCGGCGGCGGCGGCCGCCAGGTCTTTGGCGCGGAGGCTGTGCACGTCGATGACGGTGGAGTAGAGGTCCCGCAAGTTGATGACCTTCGTCTTCTTGTCCCGGTTTTCGTGGAGCACGGCGTTGGCGCAGATGAAGAGGAAGATGCCGATGCCCATGATGAGCGGCCCGAAGACCTTGAGCTTGTCCGAGTGCAGATAACCCGAGAAGATGCGGAAGAAGAAGCCCACCGACGTGGCGGGGGACGAGGAAGAGGAGGAAGAGGCGGCCGAGCGCGCCGGAGGGGTGCTCTGGGATACACCCGTGGAACTGGAGTTGACGCCCTCTGGGGTCCCCGGGTGACCCCTGGACGGGGTGCTGCCGTTACTAGCCGCTGTCTGGACGCGCAGGCCGCTGCCCGCAGGGGGCGGCTGCTGTTTGGCGCCCTCCCTGTGGGCCCCGTTAGCCTTGGGCCAGTAGCCCACCACCGCCATGGCGATGCCCACCAGCAGCACGAGGATCCCGCAGAGTGCGATGAGCCCGGAGATGGAGCACAGCTTCAGTTTGCCCTTCACCACCACCACGTCGTTCTTGCGTCTCCTCTTGGCTTTCCTCTTGCGCTTGGGGACCTGGCTGGGGGGCCGGAGGGGATCCTGCTTCCGGGCGGAAATCCTCAGCAGGCCGCCTGTGGCGATCATGGCGACCTGGAGGAGAGGAGCAGGGTTGGCCCCTGGGACAGGGGTGGAGGCCAAGGCTTGTTGTGGGAGGGCGCCAGCTGACCACCAGCTTGCTCAGTCACCTCCTCCTGCTACAAAGCAGAGGAGACAATCAGAAGGCTGCAGCAACACCCCACATGCCACTATTACCAGATTCCCAGTTCCCACTCCGTGTGTGTCCCTGCCTCACCCCGGGGCCAGCCAGCCCAAGGGCCTTGTACAGAGACCAGAGAGGGCTGAGTTAGGGATCAAGGGAAGGAAATGTTTCAATAACTGGTCTGTGGAGATGAAACATTGTGAGAGAAGCCTTTTTGCCCTTCCCCTCTGCCACAGGCCACACTGGCTATCTCCAGACATTGTTCATTTCAAACCCTCCTGGCTGGCAGCCAGTGGAGTTCTGATTATTAGTAAAAACTCAGGGTTTAGGAAATGGAAGTCGTGGTGGAGAACTTTTCTGGCAAGAGCTTTTCTTTCCCTTTGACCCATGGAGAGGCCATGGGGAGTCAGGTCTCTAAGGAGACACATCTGACAAAGTGGAGAGAAGAGTCACTAACAGTCCTGAAAGTTATTATTGTATCAAGATAAAAGGAATTCATTTCGCTAGGGAGAATGAAAGGCCATGTATACTGTCAGAAAGATGTCTTATTTACCTCAGATAATTGATCAGAGTTCATTGCTAAGAAAACGCCAGAAATATGTCAACATTCTGGCTATAAAAAAAATCCCTTCATAAAGTTGTCTCTCATCTATTCTGGCTCCTCCAGCTAACTAAAGACTCTCAGCCTTCACATTTCCACTGCAACATCTGGACAGCTTCTTGGGGTGGAATATTTAGTTTTAGGTAACTGTTATGTAACTGAGCTCTTCCTTCTGGCCTTCGCTCCTCCCACAGAGGAGCTCCCTTAAAGGTATCTTGTGCTTCCCTCGGGGAATTTGAGAAGTCTCCTGGCATCTCCAAGAGAAAGATCTTTCTATCATGTGGGGAAATTATAATCTTAAAAAAAGGCCCAGTCTGCAATAATAGTTTTCTGGTCCCTCATTAATGAGCCAGCAGCACCCCCATGGAATCTCAGTATTCAAATAAGTAGGCAATAAAAGTGAGTAAAGCAGGCTGCAAAAATGATGGTTTCCAGGATAACACCTCCCCCAGCAAAAGCTGATGTCTCCTCCTTTACTTCTGAGGTGGTTTTAGGGAAAGGGTGGTGGCAACCATCAATGGACTCTCCTTGGGAAGTTTATTAGGTGGTTTGTAATACAGTCTGGATAGGTAAGTTCACATGCCTATTTGTGGTTGCTGTTAGCTCCTTAAAATTCCAGTCCTGCTGGATCTTCAGAGTAAAACATTTTCTGTTCCACTGGGTGTGTTCCCTTCTATAATAGAGATGCTAAAATTAAGGGTATGCATGAATCGGAAAGAGATGTAGGTATTACTTACAGGCCAGTTGGTATTTTATCCTTTCTGAGAAAAGTCATGTTTTGGAATAAATTACCCTTTGAAAATGTGGGGTTACTTAGGTAGAATTTTGTTTTTAATTGGTGCTTGGGTGCAAAGCTTTGGCCCTTGGTTCTTTTCATGTTATAATATAAGCAGAATATAAGTAGGATATAAGCAGGATCTTTCTCCATGTGGGCAAGTAAATGGTAATGAGCTCTTTACAAGCAAATCAGTGTCCCTTTGGAACTTAGTTGGGGCTTCATAAAAAGAGAACCACTAGGTAGGTTAGGGAGAGGTTAATGGAGAGACTACATCTCTAAATCTTTACATTTTTTTTAAAGGAGCTACAGCTGTAAGGGCAAATACACTGAAGGGGAGGGAGGAGAGAAGACTGACTTACTGTCTATCCTAACCTCCAAATAATCACATTGATTATGTAGATTATTACTGAAACATAGAGAACCGCTGTTGTATGTGAACCCTAGATTCCAGCATCTTCAACAATCTGAAAATCTGTGTTATTTACGCGAGGATTTAAGAACCAGACATTTTAGAGGCAAATCCACCTTGCATGTACAGGGAGGATCTCCCTGAGAAGAAGGTCTTGGGTTTCCTTGGGCATCAGCAAGGTGCACCAGAGTGCCGGACGCTTACAGGAGGCTAGCACCCACTTGTATTCCTCCTCTGAAAGGCAACTTTGGCTCTTCCAGAACATAAGGGAGGTTGGAATGGATTTCAACAATCTCTTTAAAATTAGTTTAATAGCTAGTAATTAGCTCCCTGTTTTATTATTCCTTCAGCTCTGTTGAAAGCTGAACTCCTTTTCAACCAGTCACCATCTGGCTTGAGATCTTCTCAAACAAAGGTCGGGCACCACCACGGAAAGACCCACCTTTGAGCCTTTCCTTTAGACCTCTGGAAAGCAAGGAAACTTCGCAGCAGAGGTGGGCCTCCCTGGCCACTGCCTGCCTGCCTGCCTGCCAGCCAAGGTGCTGGGTCTTCCTGTGATTAAGGAGTGGGGGGTGGGGAAGCCAAGGAGGGATGTCTAAAAATACAACTGCTCGGGAGAGAGAGTCAAGTTCTCGGCTCGTGATGGATGGAGCCCCACTTGGCGCCTAGGGGCTCAGAGTCTGGGGCTGCATGCGCCATACTGTGCCCCCTCCCGCCCCCGCGCCCCCGGTTCCCCAGCCGGGGTCCTAGACCCCAGCCCCTCACCGGCAGGGCGGCGCGCCCCTGGCTCCTGGCTCGGGTCTGTTCCCCCTAGCTGAAGTCACATGAGTGCCGCAGCTGCGAGGCCGCCCGCGGAGAAGGGCGGCGGGGGCCCACGGAGGACCATTCCCAACTCGCTCTCCTGTGCAGCGCGGCCCCGGGTGGCCCGCCCCAGGAGAGCATCTCGCCCTGGGGTTCGGGGACTTCGAAACAGAAGGGCTGGGGAGGGGCGCTCAGGGGGCTGGAGGGTGACAGAATTGTTCAAAATGGCAGCACGACAGAAGCAAACAAGGTCCCCTCACTTACCCTGGGAGACCGGAGCAGCTCCGGGCTGGTGAACGGGCGCTCGGGCGACACAAAGGAAGCATGGAGAAACTTTTCAGCCCGAGCCGACGGCAGGGCGCAGGGACAGCGCCTTGGGGCCCTGCACGCGAGCGCGGCTCAGCTGCCCAGCGGGGGCGATCGTCCACCCCCGGCTCGCAGCCCCCTCGGGCGCTGTGGCGGGAGCCATTTCCAAGAGTTTCCAAGAAGTGTCAGGTCCTCGGCATCCTGCATGCCGCCCCGGAGTCCTTCTCCCCCTCTGGCGCTCCTCCTCCAGCTCCTCCCCGGCGGCTCCTCCCGCCGCGCTCCTCGCCGGCCCCCGGGTGGCCGCGCGCTCCCCTATGATCCCCAGCCTCGAGCCTCTTTTGTGTGTGGCTGCGGCGCGCCGGGCTCCGCCGGGTGGAGTTGAGCCCGCGGCGGCGGCTTGGGGCGGCCGGACTAGCTAGCAGCTGTTGCTAAGAGACCGGAGCCATGACACAGGGAAATTGCGGCAGGATGGCAATCGGTACCCGGCCCCGACTCTGTTGTCGGGAGCGCACCCGCCCTCCGGCCCGCACCCCCAGCCTCCTCCTCCCTCTCTCCCCTCCCCCGCCACCCTGTCCCTCCACCCCCACCCCGTCTACTTCTTCCCCCGTCGGCCAGTCCCTTCCCAAGCCCCGCGTCTCCCCAAACAGGGATGTGAAGGGGGGTGGCAGCGGGCGCGCGCGGGTGCAGGTGCAGCGCAGGTCAGGTGCCGGGCGCTTATCTTCGCGGTCAGCTTTGTTCTTTTCTTCTGAACTACTTGTCTGAGCAGCGGAGCAAAGAAGATCCAAAGAAAAGGCCTTCCCCTCTCTGGGGAGTCCCCTGATCTGTGCCCTAGGGGCGCTTTCCTGCGCGCCAAGGGTAGTGAGTGTCTCTGTTTCTCCCTCTCCTCCTGCGCCCCTCCCTCTCCTCCGCCCCCTCCACTCTGCTTTCCTGCCTCAACTCTAGGACAAGACCCCCCCCTCCCCCCGGGATGTTTCCTACTCCCACTTGGGAGTTTGTGGTGTGGACGCCCAGCGAGCACAGTAAGTTGTCCCCGGAGAACTCGGGCCCCCGCCGAGCTGCGCGCGCTGCCACGCTCACTTTTGCCAGCCTTGGTCTGAGGCCGCCGCGCTCCAGCCCCGCGCAGCTTTGTGATTTGGGGATCACCGCCGCTTCCCCTCCCCCGTCCCTCAATCTACCCAGACCGACAGCTGCGGTGATTCGAATTTGCTCTTCCTTGGGCAGCCCCCGTCATTCCTACCCAGTGCGGTAATGAGCTAGAATTAAAAGAACTCTAATTCACTAGGATCAGGGTTAGAATCAAAGAGAGGAGGTGCGGGTAGGGAGGATGTCCAAACTCCCTACGTCATTTGGAGAGAGAGAGAGAGAGAGAGAGAGAGAGAGAGAGAGAGAGAGAGAGATTCTGTTTCCTTAGCTCATCCCTCTCCTCTCAAATATAAAGATGACACCGAAAAGAATTTCCAAGTGGAATTTCCCCACGGAGTATTAAAAAAAAGTAAGACCGATTTCAATTATCTATTGAAATTAGGTGGTCAGGATTTGGGAAGATAGGAACGAAGGGAAGAGCAGAAGAAGCAAGATCTGGGTGAAATTAAGTATCCAGACAGATATTTTGGTGGTGGGTGTTGGATTCTGAGTTTTGGTGTTTTGGAATGTACAAAACCCACACTGGAAGATCCAGAGATCCAGTCCCAAGGTTATTCTCAATGTATACCGAAAGAATTTGTACTTAAAGCTGAAACGTATACTTTTCAAAAAAGAACAATAAAGACCAAAATTTACAAGTGCAGTTCTATAAGTGTGGATAATGAATGGTGTATTGACTAAGGAGATGGGAGGAATGGACGGAGAGGGGGAAATGTGTGCTAAAACTAACTTTGCACCTGCCTATTTGAAAGGTGACCCAAGTCACCTTTTCAGCAAATAAATGACTGTGAATTATGAGCTGAGTGTTGAGGACCCACCCCTTTCCACCTGGTTATTTCTGCTCAGACCCATAAGATCAGGAAACAAGTCATAATAAAAGGAAAGTTTTATGTCTCATTCTGGAATGTTTCCTTTTAGGGGAATCACTGCAAAGGAGAACTCACTCAGGAGGTCTAGCTGTTTTCTAAAGCCTTTCTGGCCCTGAACTTC